TTGAGTATTTCAGTGATTTTTTCAACGAGGTCTGTATCTGATTCCTGTATATTGTTTATATTTGTGGAAGCTGTTTCAATTCTGTTAACGTATTGTAATTTCAGATTTCCCGTTTCTTCGAGTTTCATTGTGATTTCTGCTTGTTCTAGTTTGTCTACTAGTTTTCGAAAATCTAAATCGGGTTCTCGAATTGAAGAAGGATGGGATGCTCTCTTTTTTATTGCTATTTTTCTTAATTGCGGTGTTAAGGTCATCATTAAGATTTCTGTCATCTTTGTGTTTTTATAGTCATGTGTATTTAATGAATATGCTTTTCGAACTAGTGTTTCGATTCGTACTGCTAATTGCTTGATAGTTTCGTTTGGTAATCTGCGAATTTCATTACATAAAACTCTTTGTTGTTGTTTGTTTCTTTCGGAGTCAAACATTTTTGAAAATTCTTGTGTAAATCTTTTCCATTTTGATTTTATTTCTATAGGCAATATTGAAAACCATTTTTGGGCTGCGCCATCTAAAGTTGTTTGTATCAACGCTGTGCGTCGATGTATCCAGTTTTGATGTAGTGGCGTATTAATTGGTTCAGGTCTTATATTTAAAATCAAATTTGCTGTTACTGCATTTAAATAGTCTTCTACAGAATATTCAGGGTCTGTTCCTGTGAATACCATTAAAGGTTTATTTGATGTTATTGATGATCCACCCATAAGGTATGGATTCATTGTCATTTGTAATGATTCTGCTGCATTTGGCATTTGAGAAAAATTTGAAAGTTGATTTCTTGTTATTTCGTGTTGTTGAAGATAATATGGGAGTGGTATTTCATTTTGCATTTGTGTTGGTTGGTACGAGTTTGCAATCATTGGGTTTTGTTGCTGAATTGGTTGAAAAGATTGTGTATTAATTGGGTTTTGTTGCTGAACTGGATGTTGATTTTGTGTATCTATTGGTGGTGGAGAAAAAATTCTATGATGTGTATGTGGTTTCTGTATTCCTTGTCCACGATATTCTTGATTATAGGGTGCAAATATATCTGGTTGTAAGAAATCATCATCTGAGGATAAGTAATCCATTTGATAAGATGTTTGTTTTTTATTTTTATTTTGTTGAAAAAATGGATAGTTTTCACTACGATCCTGTGGAGGATGTAAATTTGTTTGGAAATTTACTGAATTAGGTGGTGCAATTGAGTTATCCCAGTTTCGAGATCTTGTATAATTACTAAAATTTTTTCGCGGTTGATAATTTGTTTTTGATGGATGTGTGTAATTATAATTATGGTCTGCAAAATTGTTTCTAGTGAACGTTTTGCGTGTTTTTGGCGGTATTGTCATAGGTCTGTATGTTTGGTAATCCATGTGTGAATATTCTGGGGCAACCGAAGGTTTAACGGTTGATTGTAAGGTTACCTGTGTTTGTGAAGGGTTTGTATTTCTTGGTGTTGTTAAGTTGGGACGTATTGGTGAAATACTTTGTTGTGTAGTTGTTGTGTGTACGATTTCTTCATTTATGAAGTGTGATGGTGTCTGGATATCTTGTTGAGTAAGATTCCTAGTTCCATTGAGGTTTTCATTGTGTATGACTGTAGAGTTTAAACTATTATTTTGCATATCGGGTAAGAATGTATTATAGTTTAATGGTGTTGCATCAATGGTTAATGGTATTACTCTTACATAATCTCTTACATAAGATATCGTACTTATTGCTTGACTTGAGATTGATTGTGGGAAGTTTATGAATGCGGGATGAGACCATTCGGGGTCCCAAACATAGTCTGATTGTTCTGTGATGGCAGTATCATCGTTTGAGTTTTGGGGTCTAAAATTTTTTCTTGCTTGTGAAATAAAATCAATATTATGTGTGAAATAATCTATTATGAACCATGCCAAAATTTTTTGTAAGTCGTGTTTTGTATGTTGGGAAACTTCATCTTTCGTGAAACTTTCTTTAATTATATTTAGAAAACTAGAGATTAGTGTGATTTCATGTCGTACTCTTAAATGTTTAGATGTTTCTGTCGGTGAGACATTTGGTATCTGGATTTCGTTTTCTAATATCGATATATAACTATATATTATCGCAAAAACTTCATTGGTGAATATGGAGTTTGCTCTTTGTGAGTTATGATATTGGATGCTTTTTATATATTCTGAGAATACTTTTGAAAATTCTAAATCAAGGTCGTCTGTTTGAATTATATATTTATTGTGATTCTGATTTGGTGAGTTGAATTCTATGGAGTAGATTCCGTATTGTTGTGTTAGGTTACATATATTTTTTAGATAGTGATCGATAATTTGTCTTTTGATTTTTACATCTGGGAACTCTGTTTTACATGGACTGATTCCGGGTTCAAACAAATTTAAGAGTAAATTTTTGCAAAATATATGCTGTCCTCTATCAGTGGTTGCATCTACGATAAAGGGGAAGATATCATCATCATCTGGACTTTCTTCACCTGGGGTGTGCCTTGAGCTCATTTTTTCGTTCGATGACTGTTAATATGTAATTATCAATGTGTCTAATTGGTTGATTCCAATTGTATAAATGTACTGGTTTGTGTTTATACTGCTTTTTTATTCTTCTTTTTCCTCTTTTTGATGAATTTGAAGTTGTTTCTGAGTCAGAGAAATATAATTGATCGTGAATTGGGCAATTTTTATCTATTGATTCTTTTAGTTTATAAAGTTCGTCTAAACTGTTGGTTTCTGATTCTGAAAATGCGTTTCGATTTTTTGAAAATCTTTTTCGTGTTATTTGTCTTTGTTTAGTTATTATTTTTCTCTTTAATGTTTGTCGTTTTGTTCTAATGTATCCAACTGTTTGTGTATGAGGTGTGATTACAAGGTCGTATTTTTTGTTATCTATTTCACAATTGTGAAAAAAACGATTGTTTGTTTATTTCCTAGGTTTTTAAATGAGATAAGGTTTAGGATGACGGGTGCAAAAGGTTGTTAAATGATTTCTATTTGCTTAAACTGTTAGTCCTTACGATTTTTTTGTTAGCCTAACCTGGGTCTATTTGTTCAGGGTTGGGGAGAAAAGTATATCGATTCCGAAGAATGATTTTATACTTTCTCGTGGCTAGTATAAGCTAAGGTGTTAACTTACTTAATCTTACTTAAGGGTAGTGATTGTGTTCAGGGTTGGAGAATAGTAAATCGATCCACAAGGTTCAGGTATAATTAGAACGCGAGTAGTTCGTTAGATACTATTTTAAACTTACTAAGTTTAAGATTTATGCTGGGTCTGGTAAGAGGGGGGATCAAGTGAAGGATGAATAACCGAAGTTCTTCACTGTTTATCCTAATTTGAATGATTAGTTTTGTTCAAAAATTTCTATTAGTCCTGGGTTTTTAGAAAGGGTTGGATAGTGAATCGACGTTTGAGGTCGTTAGACATTAGTGAAGTGGGTGGGGGAGAACAAAGTTGTTCTTTTTGATCCAAGGATAGGCCTTGATGATCAAGTTTTAAATTTAATTAAATAGAAAATGATTTAAGATCCAAGGATAAGCCTTGATGATCTGATTTTAAAATTGAGTGAATTTAAGTTTATAATGATTTAAATTTGTGTAAAGAAAAGATTTAGTATTTTTATGATATTAGTGATTTTATGAATGCTGTTATGTTTAGGTGATGTAGCTGGAACAACAGGATGATTTATAATTACTAACCATTTATTGTCATGCTACTAATTTTTATTTTGTTTTTTCAATAAATATTTTTTAAACATGTTTTGTATATTACTGCAGAAATTAGGAAAACGATCTGAGATCTTTTTATCAATCGTTATTGTGTATTAATAATTTTGTTTAGCGCCTGAAATGATTTTGAAGATTGACTTCAAAATTTTATGTTTGCAAATGAAAATCTAAATTCATTGCTAGTAGTATTCTAAATACAAAAGTTTGTTCTGGCTTTTGCCGAACTATCATATAACTATATGGTAAGTTTCTGCTTTGTCGTATGTCGTCTCTGGTTCGAGGTCTTCTTCCAATTCCGGGTAGTTCTGTTATCGTTCGGAATATTGGCTCTGATCTATTGAGTCGTAGAGACATTTCGATTAAATTATTGTCGTATAACATTTTGTAAATGTTTTGTCTAAATTCTAATCTATTATTGGTTATTTCTAAGCTATTAAGGTCTTGTTCGAGACTTATGGTCGCACCAGATGAGTTATGACCGATGGGTATAACTCATAGAGTAATTTCGGATAGGGTACACCGTCTGCTCGTCACGCTATCTTATTTTCGGCCGGATAGATTCGTGCAACTTCTTAGTCTAATACCGATCCTAATCTTACTCTTATACTATCTAGTCTCAGGTTGTTTAACTAGTCTCTGCTAGGCTCAATAGAACTAGGGTATACTGGTTTATTGCGGTTGCTGAAGTCTTCTTGGAGAGTCAACTAATTTCTAAGTTAAATTCAAATCTCTCTGGTGCTGAAATTACAAGTAATTTCAGCACTTACAAATAAGTGGATTGTTAGTCAGATGGATCATGATTGGTTAATATTAAATACTTTACATTGGTAAAATATCTAATTTATCCAATCATAAAATGTAGTTTAGATCAGGTTCCAGAAGGGACTGAATTCTCCAATATTTAGACAGCAAATCTTGATTTAATTTAGCTACAATCTGTTCAGATTTTTTCAGTTTTTTAAAAGTTTTTGAATTGCTCCGTTTTCAAAATAGCAATGCGTTGTTTCTGATTGGTTCAAAAACTTAGGGTAATTGTAAATGAGTTTTCAAAAAAATGAAACTATTCAACCAAATTTTCAGCTATTTTTGAACAAATAAAAATAAAACAGAAAAAACGGACGTATTGCGACAACTACTCTTTGAGAAAAACGAAAATGAAGAGATTTATAGAAAAAGCAAAGTTTGGAACGGAAACGTCCAAAAAGTTCAGCAAAAAAGTAAAGTGTTGAAAAATTGTTGAAAAGAGACAGAGCATCGAAATTTTTTTGGATAGTGTGACTTTTGTCCGCTCATACTTACGCCATCGCAGGCAAAATAAAACCAAAGTAACGCAAATCATTATAATTGTCAATGTTAAGTTAAAAAGAAATCTGCGAATAAGGTGAACAGAGTTTTGTTTATGAAGAGCATACAGTAACTCCAAATCAAACAAAGTTTGGGCAAACTAAAGGCGAGCTAGTCCATCATAGATCTGGTAGTGATTTTGAGCTCACGTCCTGAAATCAGTTCATCGTGTGCAAAGAATTTGGCGAAACACTTACAAGATTTTTATTAGAAAAAAAACTGGACAGACGTTAAGATGTCGTCTTTAAGAAACCTGTAGTGAAGTCTCATGAAAATTATAGATGATTGTATTCAAAATTTGACTTACAAAAAACTCAAAATACTATTTATAAGTCCATTGAGTCTGCATTTTTTTAGAAACTTTAGGCCGATATTTTGATGATATTGGGATCAACTTGACAATATTGGGATCAATAACTCAGAAATAATTTCAATTGTTGTTCAGATGTGAAGTTTTAACTCGGAAAAAGTAAACTGTTTAAAGAATAGCCATTGCTAAGTACTGTTTTATTAGATGCGAACGTTAGGAGTGTGTTTTTGACTCATAGTGGGAGAGAGAGTGTATTTGATATTTTTGTTAAAAATTGTATCAATTGAAGTTGGTTAATATAGGTTAAAAATATTTGAAATTGGTTAATATGCAGCCATAACAATGAGGACTGAGCTTCTTAACGTGCTAACTTTCTCCTTTTTCAACAACTTGTCTAAGAGCGCAATTTTTGTGCAGCAAAAAAATCATTGATACTAGATTGTCGCGCAAAAAGTTAACATAATTGATTTTGTGGCGGTAAAGTTAATTACATTGGATGAAAAACTGCTTATGCAAAAAAAATCATTTTATTGATTTTATGTCTAATTATTATTTTGTAAAACGCTCGAATAAAATCACTTGTTTGGCCGGCAATTTTCTTTCTAGGGGTGTCAATTAGTTGACTACTTATCTCGGGAAAAAAACTATGAAAAACAAGCAAAAGGGTCCCAAGTCTATTCGGAAGGCAAAAAGTAAGAGTTGCCCTAGAAAATTGATCCCTGTATCTTGGCGATATCGAGAAAACGGCCAGCACGGGAAAAATTTGTTCATTACCTAGCTTGAAAACTGAAAACTGCAACTTCTATATCCAATGACAGTAGTTTGAGCTGTAAGAGGTGAACTAAAGAAAAAACTTTGTGTACTTAGTTTGCCCCCTTAGTTTGTGAAATTTCCTCAGTTTTTTTTTCTGGGGTTTTTGATCTCAATGGCCTTGCTGCATACCTCAAAGCTGCACAGACAATCGGTTTCTAAAATGACAAAATTAGGCTGCTCTTCATCTGAGGATAACGAAAAACAACTCATGCTTAAATCAGTCCTGCAAAAATAACCATTCCTAATGTTTAACTCAGTTGATTTGTAGATTTGGTAAAATTCGAGTTTTTTGGCAATATATTACTCCAAAACTTTTTGGTTGGTTTTCTTAAGCTATGGTAATATGAAAACTGGTTATGCTTAAATGGCACCCGTGAAAGTCAAGTTTAACCACAAACATGATATACAAGCTGCCTACATGCTGTTCTACGGAAGACAGTCAAAACGCCTGACTTCCCGGAATGAGATGTTTGACATATTTTTTGACTAACTCGTCCAAAAATGACTATATTTCAACCAAATCGATTAAAAAATAGCTTTTTCGATCGACTCGGCCTAAATCGATCGACTGTTCTCGATGGAAGCCAGCTATGTTTCCACCGACTCGACCCAAGTTGGCTACTTTTCAACCGACTAAACCGAAGGAAAAAGTATTGGACTGTGTTTGATGCAAGCAAGCAAGCTATGTTTCGACCGAACCAAATCAAAGTAGATATGATTCGACCGACTCCAGAGAACAAAATGTTCTCGGCAGTGTTCGACGCAACAGTGTTATGTTTCGACCGACTCCACTAAAAGAAAATTGTGTATGACTGTGTGCGACCAAAGTGTGCTATATTTCAACCAACTCGACCAAAAGAAAAAAGTGTTCCATATTGCTCAACGTAACAGTGCTATGTTTCGGGCGAATCGACCGAGAGAAAAATGTGTTCAAATGTGTTCGAACCAAGCGTGCTATGTTTCGACCAATTCGACCAAAGGAAAAATGTGTTCCATTGAGATTGACCCAGGGCGTGCTATGTTTCGACCAACTTGATCAAAGTTAAATGCGTTCGATCCAACCGTGCTATGTTTCGACCGACTCGACCGAAGAAAAAAAGCGCTCGACTGTGTTCGACCCCAGAGTGCTATGTTGCGTTCGGTTCTGAAACTCTTGGCTTCTTTCAGATCATCTGAATATATATTTTTTGTCGGTCTGCAAAAACCTATCCCAGAGAAGCCACATAACCTTGTTCAACACATCTAGACCTAGCCAACTACACACATTCAATATGCTTCAATTAGAGTTAGCTCCCTTCTTAAATATTAACTAGTTTACCTTTGCCGATAATTTATATCTAGAGAAACGAATACTTTCAAAAATACGATTGCAGTAAGCCAATGGGTTTGTTTAATAAACTATTCTATTACAAAAAAGTGGAAACGTTCTGACTCCTGGTAAAAATGTGAAGTCAGCATGCGATTCCATTAATTAAAAAAAGCTAAACATATGAACCCAGTAAAGAAGAAATGCTTGGTATAGATTTTGTTGATAATTTCTGTATAGTTTTTATAGTTTTTTAGTCAAGGGAACTGTTGCAATTGGTATGATTATCCTTCATTCAATAAAAGCTACTTATAAAAGGAAACTTTATGACAATCATGTTTGCTCTGCACGAGAATCTAGCAAAACAAATGGAGTTGGGTTGTAAAAAGCAAGATATTTAGGCCGAACTCGTCAAGTGATTGATCTTAATCGGCTCAAAAAACATAAAATAGTAAAAATGCGCCATCTGACACACAGCATGTTAAGAGATGCACTTGAAATTCAAAATTATATTTACTGACTGGATGCAGGAAATAAAAATTATAGTCGTTTTGGTGGTTATGAGAGGGATATATAGTAACCCTGGTCGAGATGCTCACTTTCTATTTCGACCGTCTCGACCGACAATTGGTATGTTTGGACCGTGCTTGATCTTAACAAAAGTGCGCGACCGTGCTTGACCCAAGCAAGATATGTTTCGACCGTGCTCGACCAAAAAAAATTGTGCTCGTCAGTGCTCAGCCCAAGCAAGATATGAGTCGACCGTGCTGGACCAAAAAAAGGCGCTCGACCGTGCTCGATCCAAACAAGAAATGTTTTCGACTGTGATCGACTGGAGAAATGTGTGTTTCGACCGTGCTCGACTGTGCTTGACCGTGCTCGACCGTGCTCGAGGTAAAATTCGACATTGTGATCGGCCCAAATACACGTCTCAACTATCGTTTTTCGGCCGAGCACTGACATGTGCTTGGCTTCGAAAGTCGAAACATAAAGTGAGTATCTCGAGCTGGGTATTAGCAAACAGTTGGAACAGACCCAATTAATTTAAAAAGAGCATTACACTCAATTTCAGAAATGTTTTGAAAAAATAGGCTAATTTTTCAGACAGAAAGAAAGCTTGACAGAGATGATAACAAAAAGAAAGAAACTGGCTTCCAAAAAATGCTCAAAAAATGACAGGTTACCAGTTTGATTGATTTCCTTCTGTTCAAACTTTTTCTACTAATCATAGAACTGCAATGCGTTCTATACATTTAATTAGCGAATTTTATGAAATTGCAACAAAACTGATTTTATTTTGCGCAAAAATTTAGTCTTGAAATAATTGAGCTTGCATATAAGTTATTGTTAATTTGAGGACAGTTTCCGGTTGTGCGCTCAATCTCTGAAAAAACTGTATTAAACAAATTTAATTATGGGTATTTTTCGGTAAACACACCACACATAACAAGACATAAGCAATTGTAAACGGTTTGCATAATCAAGATCACAAAATCAACTTCCGATTGTTTCGGTACAACTCGTTTGTAAGATCATTTGGCGCAAGCTAGCCACAAGAACCGGTCGGTAACGTTCTTGAGACAAAATGCTCTTTTTGGCTGACAGCTTTAATCAAGGTTGAACCGAATAGAACCAAAAAACAGTTAAAAAAGGATATAACCCCCGTTTTTAGTATAATAATACAAGGCAGGTGGGGGACTCGAACCTACGTCAACTGTTATGTTACGTTACTTTGTCTTAGTCCGCTCGGCCAACTGTGCTTATTTTATATTATACTCTTGTTTTATATTTGCGTTGCAACATCCCCCCCCCTGAAGAAGGAAGAATCGGAGTGAGCTTAACGGTCGGCCGAGTGACTTCACGGGTTGCGGTCCTAACAAGGGCGGATCGAGCGCAACCTCCTGTCCGTAGTTTAGCTTGACGATTCGGGCGAGAGGGTAGTACCGACGCGGACTATCGGGCTCAATCACCCACTCGAGATCGCCTGTTTTAAGAGTGAAGTCAGAAAGAGTGTGCCACTTTTTCAGCGAGGGAATATATTCGCGAAGTCAACGAGACCAAATCGTGTTAGCATATGACTGCGCTCGCACGTACCTTTTCTTGTGATCGAAGTGTTCCCCAGGTAAAAGCGAAGGAAAGCTTGTGGCATGTTATCCAAGCAAAAAGTGGTTTGGGGTTAACGCTTCTAACTCCGGGCTAACGTGAATCAGTACTAACGGGAGTGATTGGCCTCGAATTCAAAGCCTGCTCAACTAAGCATAAGGTTGTTCCTAACATCTCTTCGGTGACACGCCTAGTGCCTAGTATGTCGTACAGGACGCGCTTCACGCTTGGGACGAGGCGCTCCCAGGAGCCGCCATGATGAGGTTCGCCTGGCGGGTTAAATTTCGAAGCAACACTTTTGTGTGTCATGCCATTCCAGCCCTTGATGCAGGCAAGTAGTTCCTTTTCCGCACCAACGAATTTCGTGTCGTTATACGACCAGATTGTGCTTGGTGTACCACGACGCGCAATGCACCTTTCAATGCCCATGACACAAGAACTGGTGTCCAGAGATGGTACAAACTCAAGGTGTACAGCCCTGGTGGTGAGGCAAGTAAAAAAAAATACCCATCTTTTTTCAGTGCTTCTGCGAACCGG